TTGACTCCTCCTCCTCCTCAATGGAACATTTTTATAATGGAAGGTATGCAGCCATTAAAAAGAGTGCGACACACACACACACACACACACACTCTCTCTCTCTCCATGTATATTGTTAAGTGAGAAATGCAAGATATTATGACAGTGTGTATTTGTGAGAAATCTATCTTAAAACATTTAGCACTACATGCACAGAATATATCTGAAAAGAAGATATTCTTTCCAGAATATCTGAACATAAGAAATTGCTAATGTTAGGTGTCTCAGGGAGACTAACTAGAGACAGAGGTTTAATTTTTACTACATACCCTTCTATACCTTTTGTTCCAGGTATCAATTAATAATGTTGATAATGATAACCATGATGATGATGATGATGATAACAATGATGATAAAGAAAATTAGATGTACAGTATTGAGAATGAAATTCCAGCGATGCCATTCACAACACATGTGGTCTTTGGAAAATGGATGAATTTTAAAATGTCTGCTCCCTCAACTAAAAATGCCCACTCCATCAAGTTGATTCCAATGCATAGCAACCTGACCTAGCGTTTCTAGTCTATTCTGGTAATTCTGACTCAGACTGACCCCATAGGACAAGGTAGAGCTACTCCTGTGAGTTTCTGAGACTGGATCTTTATAGGAGTCAAAAGTCTCATCTTTCTCCCACAGAGAGGCTGGTGGTTTTGAACTTCTGACCTTTTGGTTAGAAGTTCAACACATAGTTCAATAAGCCCCCCCCAGGACTCCTTATCTCAGAGAGATAAAAAGATAGAAGAGCAAGGAGAGAGAGAGAGAGAGAGAGAACGCTCCCCCAAAAGAAGACCTGGGAACAACACGTGTTGTTCAGACCTAGGGTCCCTGTGTCGGGAACCTGCTAGATCTAGGGGAAGATTGGTGCTAACACACATGGAAATCTCTAAGGACTGCCAGGCCCACAGATGTTGAAAGTAGTCAAGGACTTTCTCCTACAGTCAACAGAGAGAAGAAACCTTCAAAACGATGAGAAAATTAATGTTCCTTATCAGCCCAATACGCCGCCCAATTCTCCCTAATACATGACTCCTGAATAGACTGGAAGTGGATACTTTACTCAATAGTCATTTATTGATGGTCTTTATTGAACTTAGATATTCATAGCTGGGAGCGCCTTAGAAGTAAGACTTGCTCTCACATGATTTGGGCCCATTATTAGGAAGGCCCAGGCCCAGGAGAAGGATGCCATGCTTGGTAAAGTAGAGGGCCAGTGGAGAAGAGGAACATCCACACGGAGATGACCTGACACAGCGCTGTAACAATGGTTTCAAACACAGCCACAGTGATGAAGATCACCGAAGACTGGATAGCATTTGACTTTGTTGTATACAGGGTTACTATGAGTCAGAACTGACAGCTCCTAGCAACGCAAGTTGATAACATGTGTATCTAGCTAATGCTGGGCCTGTTGCTGTTGTCAGCTATCCATCCGGCCACCTCGTTCTTGGATGCCTAGGATGCCCTATCCTTTTGGGGAACGCAGCTTCTCTGAGACCCTAGAGAAAGCTCAGAAGGAAGCTCTGGATGGCCCATTCCAGTCACTGTCTCTAACTGAAGTGAGAGGATGTGGTCCCTGGAGCAGCTGCCCCCCCCCCACCGCCCCATTCCCCCCAGGTATGCCTTGGGCCTGAGCTCTTGCACACTTTGCATTCCAAACTTTAAATTGCTTCTGGGACTAGCAGGGTCCCTGCTGGAGTTACTGGGGGAATTAAGTGCCTTGTGGAGTCCGTGGCTGCTACCTGAAGATTCTCTTCAACTGCTAGGAAAATGTGTCCTTTGGATTTCTGGGCATCAAACCAGGAGAGCCAGTCTTCCCCAGGAAGAGTCCAGAGTTGAAGGGCTCAGGATTCAGCTAGGACAGTTAAGAGGAAGGAAGTGAGGTAAGAGAGGGCCTGGATCTTTCTCTGGCACTCAGGCTCTGCTGGCCCAGGGTACAAGGAGGAGTAGAAAATTGTGGTTGGGATTAGGAGACCGGGCCACAGAAAGGATCGAGCTGTGGTGGGGTAATGCCTTCTGCAGACAGTTCCTCTGAGAGGTGCTTTCCTCCTCACCCGACCTCTGCTCAGAGCAGCTTTGAGCTGTGACTGGGAGCTGGTGCTGGAGCAGAGAGGAGTAGCTATTCCTAAACTTGGAACATCTCTGTGCTCACACTTGCTAGAGCTCACTGTTGACCAAGTCCCTTCCCTGATGTTGCTGCTCCATCCACACCTGAAGCCCAAGAAGGAGGTGAGTGGAAGTTTCCCTTTCCGTTGTCCAGATGAGGAGAGTGAGGTTTCTTCAGGATCACAGGGCAATGAGAGAGGCCAGCCAGGATCCAAGTCCCTGCCTAGGATTCCAGGCCAGGCTAGTTCTGCTTTCTCATTTCCCTTTTATAAATGCTGACATGTATTCTGAACACCAAGAAATGTGTGCCCATTGTATGAATGGATATTTTTAGCAACACTAACCAGAACCAAGAATGTACTTCCCCCATGGACTTTGGTGTAATTTTCTCCTGCTCAATTTTATACCCACACAGAGTTGATCTAATGGATAATCCTCAAACGTACACCATTTTGTATTCTCTTTTTAACCTGAATATTATAATGTAATAATCCTATGGTGTAAATGTTTACAAGCCAAATTGAATGTCTGCCCGATGCCCCATCATAGAAACAGAATGATTTACCTAGGTCTTTATTGTTAGTACCTCTGTTTCCTAAATTTTACTCACAAATATTCCTGGGAGAAAGACCCTTATTAAGAGAAAATGACACTCACTGATCCCAGTTGGCTTAGCAGTGTTTCCTAGAGGTGGAGTGTTGAGATGATGGGTACACAGGCTTTACAGGTTGGTCCCTTTTTCTAGACAAATTGCTCTCCAGAAAGGCTATGAGCATGCGTGGGGCTCTTACACTCCAGCATGCAGCTTCCCATTTCTCATTGTGGCTGGCTGCCCAGACAGGTGAGACAAGCACAGGGTGCAACCACACAGGTAGACATTTCTCTTCCTCTCTTTGTTCCCCTGCTGGCCTCCCAACTCCACTCCCACCCTCCTCTTGTTAGGCGGCAGGTGCCAGAACGCGTTGTTTTCATCTTCTGTGTCCCTTTCAGAGCTGGACACAGCTGTTTCCTGCTGACCTTCTTTGATGGGAAACCAAGAATTTGGATCTTCCCTACACACACATACACACTCACCACTCAAAGAAGTGGGCAGCCCCCTTCACCAAGGGTGTCTTCCTGCCAACTGAGAATGTCCCTGGGCAGCCTGGGGCAGTCAGAGTTGGGAATGCATGGTGCACATAAGGAAACGGAGGTCTTGGGAGGAAAAGGGCCTTGCTCAGATCACAGAGTGTATCCAGCCCCTGGGCAGGGGTGGGTCCACGGACTCTGGTCTTAAGAGCAGCATCTTTCCAGCTGTTTAGTTCAAGTCAGTTGAGCATGCTTTTATTCAGCATCTTGTAGATGCCAGGTACCAAGACTGCCAAAGGTGGTGCAGCTCTCCTCCAGGGAAGACCCATGCCCACACCATGCTATGGATGGGTAGAAGCTTCCTGTGGATTTATCCGATGGGCATGGGCAGCTGTGGTTCCTCTAACAAAGGGCGTGCCATCTCCTTGCCACTAGTAAGTCTTGTTAATGACACTGGCCAGAGAGTTGACTCTGTCAGTGATACTGGCTGGCTGGAAAGTTTTCAGGAGGGGAAAGGAGAAGGCGGCTGGACAACTTAGAGGTCAACGTTCATGGTGGGGGGTGGGGGGGTCAGCCAAAGCAAGCCGAGATTGCGTAAGCAGGGATGCCCCTAAGTCTCTCTTAAGGAGTGGGGAAGGGTAGTAAGATTTTATAGGAAATAACAATGATGTTCATGGTTGTATAATGGGTGAGCCTTTTCCTGGGTTAGTTCAGTGTTCTTTATCAGGCAAAGATCTGCCCTCTTTATTTTCAGGAGACATTTGGCAATGAGTAGACATTTTGGCTATTACAGTGCAGAGTGGGGAGCGAGATGCTACTAGAGGCCGAGACCACTGCTAACCATCCTCCGGTGCTCAGGACAGCCTCCCAAAGAACAGAGGCAGGTGCAGACAGCCCTGGGCTCGATTCAGGGTGGGAGTCATCTGGCCTAATAGCACGTCTGTAAGAAACCTCCCACCATGTCTGCAGAGAGAAGCGTGAGAAGACATTTCAGATAATGTACCCAGCTGCCACTGGAGAGACAGAATCTCTCTCAAATCTCTGAACCAAGAGAGGAAGGCATCTATTTGGTGACAATAACTCAGAATTGGGGACTTGGATGCTCCATGAATCCAGCTCCATGAATCCACTCCACACAAGAAGTCCCTTAGTTCCTCCGAGTTTGGGTTATTTTATCTATTAACCCTAGAATGACACGATCTTTTCCACAGGGTGGCTCAAAGCATATGGCACACAGTAGGTGCGTATTCATATCCCTTGTCTTCCATCATTCATCCATCTCACGGCCCACTCTACTACAATTTAAGAAGGAGCTATAGAAACAAAGACACGGAGATGCACATGGTGAATGCTCTTGGCTGCTAACTGAGAGACTGGGGGTCTGGGTCCACCCAGAGATGCCTGAGAAGAAAAGGCTGGCAATAGTCTTCTAAAACTGGGCTGCGGCACCCCCTGGGGAGCACAGTTCTACTCTGATACACATTTATGTTTTGTGTACAATTATCTTTACAAGTGGGGCCGGCTGCAACACCAGAAAGCTCTAGCACACATCTGACCATGCGAGGCTCTCAGCCACTGTCGGCTCGTTGTAAGTTCTATGCCAGCCCTGACCTTCTGTCATCTAAGAACGAAGAAGCACCTTCTCTCCTCTCTTTTGGTCACTTTCCTTTATGCATATCGCTCCTCCTTTTACGCCACAGGGCCCTGAACCCACACTGGCTGCATAGGACTCCTTTCAAGAAGGTCTGAGGTGTTGCCTGGGACACTGCCGAAGGCGGTGGGACTACAGCATGGCAAAAACCAACTGGACCTCCTTCACGATGGAGTTCATTCTCCTGGGACTCTCGGACCACCCGAAGCTAGAGAAGATTTTCTTCGTGCTGGTCTTACTGATGTACCTGGTGATCCTACTGGGCAATGGGTTACTGATCCTGGTGACCATGCTGGACTCCCACCTGCACACACCCATGTACTTCTTTCTGGGCAACCTCTCTTTCCTGGACATCTGCTACACCACCTGCTCGGTTCCTCTGGTCCTGGACAACTTTTTGACCACCAGAGAAACCGTCTCCTTCTCAGCCTGTGTGGTACAGATGACGCTCTCCTTTGCCATGGCAGGGACAGAGTGCCTGCTTCTAAGCATGATGGCCTTTGACCGCTATGTGGCCATCTGCTGGCCCCTTAGGTACCCCATGATCATGAGCAAGGCTACCTACGTGCCTATGGCTGCCAGCTCCTGGGCTGTTGGTGGTGCTGCTTCTGTGGTACACACCTCCTTGACCATCCGGCTGCCCTTCTGTGGGGACAATGTCATCAACCACTTCACCTGTGAGATTTTGGCTCTCCTGAAGTTGGCATGCGCTGACATTTCCATCAATGTGATCGCGATGGGCGTGACGAATCTGATCTTTCTGGGGTTCCCTGTGCTGTTCATTTCTGTCTCCTACGTCTTCATCATGGCAACCATCCTGAGGATCCCCTCAGCAGAGGGTCAGAAGAAGGCCTTCTCGACCTGCTCTGCCCACCTCACGGTGGTGGTCATCTTCTATGGGACCTTGTTCTTCATGTATGCAAAGCCCAAGTCGAAGGACCCGCTCCGGGCAGACAAGCAGGATCTTTCAGACAAGCTGATCTCCCTCTTCTACGGGGTGGTGACCCCCATGCTCAACCCCATCATCTACAGCCTGCGGAACAAGGACGTGAAGGCTGCTGCGCGGAATCTGGTGGCTCACAAACACTTCAGCCCGTGATGGTGGGACGAGCCCCCGTGGGAGTCCAGACGGAAGGATGCGCTTTCAGTCCGTGTGCCTGCCATTCAAGCACCGAGTCTAGCTAGCTGGGATTGAATGGGCTCTCATGCAAAAAAGCATCTGCGGGAACAGGTATATCATTATTCAGAGGGTACCCCAGAGACCCTTTTCGCTCATAGGTCCAGTGGCATCAGAGCAGAGCAAACTTCATCATCACCCGCATTGAATATAAAGAGCACCCTGCAAGCCCGTTAGAGCAAACCAAACGATTCGTGCAGGGAAACAAAACGCTTCTTCACAGTCATGTCGCCGCTCCAATTGGACTCTCCAGGAGGACCAGGGGAGTCAGGAGGACTTGGAAACGCTCAGTCTGGACTTATGTTTATTAGATTCCGTGTGTCTGAAATGCTAAGAAGAGACAAATGCCCGTTCTTCATCATGGGAACTGTTGGATGGACATAACAGACTTTAATAACCCACGTCTCCTTTTAGCCAAGAGGAAGTGGAGGCTATTTTTTTTAATTTTTGATGCACAGAAGATTATGAAACATTGTTAATAAACAATTCAACTCGAGGCGGACTAGGGAGTTTGAATTTCAGAGTTCTAACTTATGGAATTTCCCAAAAAATAACTGGTGTCCTGTAAGGTACCAACTCATGTTCTTACATTTGAAAATATCGATATACGTATATGTATTTGTATGAGAGACAGACAGAGAACGAGAAAAAGAGAGAGAAAGAGAAAGGGAGAGAGAATAGTGGTAAAACATGATTGGGTTTAAAATGTACAGGTTTCTTTACTCTTGGAATTCTCAGAGCTTCACTGCGCTAACATCACTAAGAATGGATGAGGGGGGTTAAAAGATGTAGTGTTTCTTGAGTTCAGCACCCAGATCGGGAGGCATTTCCTTACCTACGACTCTGGGCAGGTTGAGCTCTCTCAGCCTATGTCATCATGGTCACTCAATCAATTTTTGTTGATTAAATGAGGTACTATCAGTGAGTGCTTAGGAAATAAGCACAATAGAGATGCACTATGTTATTCTTAGCATTATTATGTATCCTGCTACAGCACCATGTGCCGCGTAATAAAGACTCTGACGCATAGTTCCCATCTAGAACCAGACACAGCAGCCACAAGAGGCCCAGAGATGGCTTGGGAATACCAGAAGCAGTTTTGTGGCAAGGTATATAACATTCTAAGAATGTCAGAAGGCTTTAGGAGAGGATTTAGAAAGCTCATCTTCCATTAAGAATAGATCTTTGCATTGTATGATATGTGAATTATATGCCAATACAATGCTTTAAATAAGTACAGATCTGTTCTTAATAGAAAAGAAGAGGCTTTGGGAAATATTGCTTCAAATGATAGCTATGTTTTCTATTTATGAAGAATGGATTTATTAAGACGAAATGCTTCGTTAGTAAAAAGGCATGCTCTAAGAGTAGCTGGTCATGTGCCTGATTTCTACTTTGCGGCAGCAGCGAAATCGTCTCACACCTGCAAACAGGAGGGCGTCACTGAGGAGACCATTCAGACCCGTCGTGCGTCTGCGGAGCCTCCTAACATCAGTGTTGAGAAGAGGCTCCCGTGGTCTTATTGAACCCAACCCACAGGACACACACGATTCCTCTCCACTGTCTCAGACCCTAGCTAACCAGGATCTGCTTTGGTATCTCCAGGGATGATGATTCAATACTTCCAGATTCGAGCTGTTTCCTTCAGCTGTGCTAGGAAAATTTCCCTTGAATCATACTCTCCAGGAGCTTCTGTCTTTCAGTTTTTACTCAGTCCTGAGTCTAGGAAAGTGCCTGTTCTTGTTCCTGCTGATATCTGAAGGTATTTCTCTTGGTCCTTTAGTTTATTACCCGTGATCCTAAGCCCAGCCGAGTTCTTCCTATCTATGCCCAAATCGACACAATATAACTGGCAAGTAGTAAATTGTGCTAAGAGTCAGAATCACCTCCATGACAGCGAGTTTTGGTTTTTTGAGAGAAAGAGAAACCATGGAAAGAAGGTGGCATGTCACATAAACTACGTTGGGGCTAATCATGACTCCAGTAAGTTAACTCTATTTCCCCAGAGCAACAGAGATGTGTCTAGTGTAGAGAACCTCATGACTCCAGTAAGTTAACTCTATTTCCCCAGGGCAACTGCGATGCATCTGGTATAGAGAACCTCTTTTGAACAAGCCTACTTTCCTGCTACTTTGCCCTCTACTCCCATTCTTTCCCACTGATTAATGGTAGCCACACTCTTACTATTACAAGTTAAATTTTCAAAATGGAATTGTTAAATTAGAAATGACATAGTTGTTTCCTTTAGGAACAATGGCTGCCTGCCTCCCCCTCCAATGTCACAAGCCTTGTATTTCAAAACTCAGTCACCTTTCTCCTGCGTTCAGAAAGTGTAAGATGCATTAACAGGTGCAAGAAGAGGCAACAAGGCTGAGCAAATTGCATTCTTTCTGAGAAAAATTCCTGATCAAGTACTATGCAACATGGGAATCTATTTCTAAAGTTTTTCATCGAGAAGAATCAGAACGCACAAACTCTTGGGGACATAAATACTCTCATATTATACTGATTCAAACAATAAAAATATTATTTCAACTTTATAGCTCATAGCCAGTGGTTCTTTTAGAATTTAGTTCTTTTGACCAACCTCTAAGTTGAAATCACAGATACAAACTGGATCTACACAGCAGGGATGGAGACAGAATGGAGGTGAGAGGCAGTGGCCAGAATAGGGCTCTATCTTCTCAGCCAGCCCTTTATCCCCACCCTCCAGGGGTTCTCCAGTCTAGAGGCACCACCCAAATCAAATATGATCGCAAGTGTACTGTTGTCAAGAGAACTTGAAGTTTTATGAGATTGTTGCCAGAGCCTCAGAAATAGACTAAAAAACCTGGACAATTCTATTCTGTGAGAAGCTGCTGCTGTTGTTGGGCATGAGGAGTTGGTTCTGGCTTACAGCAACCTTTTGTGCAACCTAACAAAATACTGTCAGGTGTCATCCTCCTCACAGTAGCTGTTTGAGCTCCATGGTGCAGCCACGGTGCCAATTCATCTCGTCCAGAGTTGTCTTCCTTTTCACTGACACGGCTTTCCCAAGACAAATCCAAAGTCTGTGAGTCGAAGGGTCTCTGTCTTAGCTTCGAAGGAGCGTGCAGGCTGTACTTCTTCCCAGACAGAGGTATTTGTTCTTCTGGCTGTTCACAGTACTTCTCACACCCTGCAGCAACACCGTAATTCAAGTGCATCTGCTCCTCTGTGGTCTTCCTTACTCATTGTCCAACTTTCACAGGCATAGGAGGTGCTTGGAAAGAGCCTGTCTTGGGTCAGACACGTCTTAGTTTTTAAAGTAACATCTTTACCGTTCAACACGTTCAAGAGGTCTTGCACAGTAGATCTGGCCAATGCAATACTTCATTTGATTTCTCAATTGCTGCTTCCATGAGAATGGGAGAAAGAAGAAGCTTTCTGTTCCTGTAAAGAGTGACAGCCTTGGAAACCCAGAGCGGCAGGTCGGCCCTGTGTCATAGGGCTGGCATCGGGTCGATGGCTGTGAGTTTGGTTTTTTGGTTAGGCTCTCATGAGCATTGATTGGGCATCTAGGCAAAATGGAATTCTGGACAATCTCAAACATTTCTCCATTTACTATGATGTGTTTGTGTTTTTAACATTCATTGCAATACATATTGGAGGCCACTGTCTTTTTCATCAGCAAGTTTTCAAGTCGTCCTTCCTTTAAATGAGTCACCCAAGAGGAACCCAATGCTCTAAGTCAATTCTAACTCACGGTGATGGGATGTTGCTGTTAGGTGTCATAGAGCCGGTTCTGACCCATAGCAACCCTAGTGATTGAGTAAGACAGAGTAAAACTACATGTCTGGGTTTCTGAGACTGTCTATCTGTATGGGAGCAGAAAATCTCATCTTTCTCCCTTAGAGCGGCTGGTGGCTGTGAATGGCTGACCTTGTTAGCATTACCAATGACCTCACCAAGGCTTCCTATTAAAGAGGTACACAACCTGTAAAGACCAAGTGCTTCAGAAGAAATTGCCAACAAACATTTTAAAGTTCCATGCCCAGATGATTGCACTGATGACAGTTATCAAACATTCAGAGAACAGAAGGTTTTAATACAATGGGTAAGGTCAGGAGTTCAAAACTACCAGCTGCTACTTGGGAGGAAAATGAGGCTTTCTACTCCCAGAAAGTGGTACAGGCTCAGAAACCAACACGGGAAGTTCCACTCTGTCTCATAGGGTTGCTAATGGTCAGAATTGACTTGATGATGGCCGTGAGTGAAACTATTTCGGAGATTGCAGCGACAAGGATATTTTCAAAATGCCAAGCCAGCATAACACTGACACCAAAACATGACAAAAAAGGTATGGAGAGGAAAACATGTGGTTATTGCTGCTAGGTATCATTGAGAAGTACAACCAGAATGCTCCTTCGAAGTAAGGACAGTGAGACTTCGTCTCATGTACTTTGGACATGTTATCAGGAGAGACCAGTCCTTAGACAAGGACGTCATGCTTGGTAAAGTAGAGGAGTAGCGAGAAAGATGAAGGCCTTCAATGCGATCGGCGGTTGCAACAATGGGTCAAGCGCAGGAACCACTGTGAGGATGGTGCAGCTCGGGCAGGGTTTCCTTCTGTGGACAGAGGGCCACTTTGGGTCAGAACCAACTCAACGGCACCTGAGCACAGCCACCACCGAGTCAGCTCAGAGTCGTAGCGGTTTCGCGTTGGTCAGAATGAAGCGCTGCCCAGGCTCGCACCATCCTCCCGATGCTGCTGTGCTCACTGTTCATCTATCTCCTCTCTCTATCTCTTTTCCGGTGGACCTCCTTCTCTACCAAGCACAGAAGAAAACATAGAGAGCTATAACATGTATACTGGAATTTAACAGCAAGCTAACAGAATAATGGATAATCTTCTAATGAGGTTGCTTTAAGATTGTAGGCATTGAAGTCAACAATTTAAGGGG